ATTTTTTTTTTATTTCTCTTCCTTCAGCTGTTTTTCCTGCAGAGGAAACACACAGGAGTGAAATGAGAAGTGTTTCGTTGGCGTTTTAACGCTCCATACCGATGGACTCCAGCTTCAGGACGTCTTAGAGGAGGGCTGAGGTCAGGTCGCCTGCAGGGTTGAAGCTGCTGTGCCCCGGTGCATTTTGGGTACTTTGTGTTTCTCAAAGCTGAGCATCCTTCGGCTCATATTCAGGCAGCAGACTTTATTCTGCTGTTTTTATGAATCCTGGATGTAAAGCTGTGAGTGCTGCTCTCTGTGATAAGATCCTGTTCAGTGTGGAGGGAAATGTTTAACGATGATGATGAGGAGGAGGAGGAGAAGGAGTGTTTCCTCCTCACTCTGATCAATAAGTGGCTCCTCTCCAGAGCCCGACTCTGTGTCAGGTACCTCGGTTTTGCTCTCGAGAGCTCCTCGTCGCCTCCTTCCATCCTCGCCTCCTTTTCTCTCCCTGAATCTCCTCTTTTCATGTTTTCTTCAGAGGCGTGCGATGTGTGCGATACGAGCGCGCCTCCTCTCCTCTCAGGTCTGATGTGTTTTCTGCGCGGCGGCTTTATTAGCGTGAGAGCGGCCCGTTTAATCAGCCCGAGCAGCTGCAGGTTTGATGTTGTCTCTGAGTTTAATCAGACGGCTGCAGGTTTGATGTGGGCGCAGTTAATAAAGCCGGATCTTCCTCGCCTTCATCAGCTGCAGCACTTTGTTCTGTCTGTCCCCACGTCTCTGAGACAGACGCCTCTGTCTGCGTCTCTTCTCCAAGCCTCTGGACGCTTCACAACTCATTTGTCCTTAACTTCAGGACTGACGTCCACTTGGTGTCTGAAAGTGTCCAACTATAAACACGTACTCTCAGTTTGAAAATAAAGCCTGGATTATTTTAAACAGTCGTCTTGTCTGTGAAAGCTGAGTGTCTGTGACCGTCGAGACGGGGAACCGTCTTTAGGAAAACCACGGTCTCGTTTAGTGTGCACGTCTTCTTGTAATGACTTTGTCTCCCACCTCACGCTTATTTATTCTCCTGGGAGACACTTTAGAGACCAGGACAGGCAGACTTGGACCAGTTTGAATACAGTAGTCCCTCGTTTATTGCGGGGGTTAGGTTCCAGACTCTGTGTACGTGGGTGTTTTTGTTTCAAATTACCTTGTAGGGACCAATTTTACAAAAATCATGCATTGTGGGAACCAACTGCTTTTTATGGGGACCAAAGCCAGGCCCCCATAAGGAGAAGTCTCGTTGGAGGGTTAGGTTTAGGACTAAGGTGTGAACTGTGGATGGGTAATAGGCATGTACTAGTAATGGTTAGGTTTAGGGTAAGGGTCAGGGTTAGGCTAAAGAAAATGAATGGAAGTCAATTTAAATTCCCCAAAAAGTACATTTACAAGAATGTACGTGCGTGTGTGTGTGTGATCCAGATGATCATAAATAACGTCATCGATTGCAGTTGACTCCGACTTGACTTGGTTAGTTCTGTTAGCTCAAATTTAAACTCTGGCTTCAACAAGTCAAAGTCAGAGTTTGAATAAATCATATTTATTAAAAAAACGTTTAACAAGAGGAAAAAAAAACACGTTTGTGCTATTTGTACATTCTTGATGATTAATAAACTCTGTCAGCCTTGGCAGAAATATTTTCTCTCAGCTCTTTTAAATCCTAGAACGTCTTTTATTAAATTCTTCTGTATGTTTTTCTCCTTGAATGAAAAGCAAAAAGTCTCCAAGAACTGGAAAGAGTCCAGTTGTCTTTGACTCAGTGTGGACGGAGAATCTGCACCTTAACCCACTGCCAGGACGTGAAGGAGGTTCGTTCTAAGGAAACTTCTCGGTCCAGCAGAAGAATTCAGGAAGTAAAAGTGAAACTTTTCTTGTGGGAAGCTTCGGGCTCTTTCTGTCTCCTCAGAACCTCGACAGCGTTGCTGCTGGACCACTTCCTCCTGCAGATACCCGTTTGTCTCCATCTCTAGAAAGAGAAATAATAAAGTCCAATTTTCCTGGATATCATGCCGGAACAATTAAAGGCTGTCGGTGTAAAGCGGGCAAACGCAGAGGAATGTGGCGCACTTATCACTCAGGCGTCCCGCCGTCGTCTCTGCCAACCATCTGACAGGAGGAGGAGCAGGACAGAGGAAGAATATTTCTGCTGGGATTAAAGAAGCTGAAACTTTTCTGCACCATTTGATGTGAAAGCAGCGATGCAGCGATTGATTCATTAAAGCAGAGCTGTAATAAGGGGAGAAATCACAAGTCAAAGTTACATTTTAAATATGAAATATAATTGGAATTTCACACGGAGAAGTCCCTTTGTACAATTCTGATTAAAGGAAAATTAATTGTATGAAAATGTCCATATAGATACTGAAAATTAGATCTAGCAAAGCTTGGACGGCTAATTCTAAAAATACTGTGGACAGGATCAAGTTTTTTCTGCTCTTGTCTTTTTTTTTTTTTTTTTTTTTAAATGAAGGTCCAAATCTGGCTGTGTTAATTTTATCTGAAATTAGAGTGAAGCACGCAGGCATGGAAGTTGAAATTAGCCTAAAGATGTTTCATTTACAAAGACATAGAGACTTTGTCAGCGGCGATTGTTTCCCAGCATTATCTCTGCCTGCTTTTAATTGCTTTGGAAGTGAAATTAACTGAATTAGAAAAATTGCCTCTCTCTTTTTCTACAAGCTTCTTTATTCACGGGTATTGTTGTGTGCTTTGTATAGATTATAGACTCCTTTTGTTCCAGTATTGTAAATATATACGCCCCCCAGTCACGGCTTTAGCTCCGAAACAATCCCCCCCTTGTTGGTTCTACACAAATTAATTTACAACCTGTTCTGATTGAGAAGGAGAAATCCTGGATCTGTGTCGGGACTCGTTTCTCTCTGATTCAGTCTGTGAAAAACATCCCTCCTCATCATCATCTTCATCATCATTGTTTCCCTCAGCAGACGGCAGCATGTTCTCAGCCCGACCTAATCTGCTCAAAGAAGCGACAACCGTCGATTAACAACTGGATCATGAGGAACTCTGGGGACATGAAGCTCATTACGGTCCAATAAGAAACATGAGAGGAAATAATGAAGTGTTTCATAAAGCACCCTTAAGAGGTTCAGACTGTAGACCTCCTCAGGGGCCAGTCTAAAGGGTTCGTACTGTAGATCTCCTCAGTGGCCAGTCTAA